TGCTTCCTTCCCCGGCAGAAAGGAGAACAATTAGAAGGCTGAAAACAACAGGCCCTTTGTACCAGCACGTTATGTTTTGCTGATTCTATTACCCATTGGTTGGGAGATAAGAATAAACAGGACAACACCCTGTCTAACCCCAGGAAGAGGGGGTGGAGGGGGAGCTGGTTACTTCATTCTTGGGCATGGATGTGCACACTATTTCTTCGCAAATCGAGGTACTTAAGAAAATTGTGCAAGCAATAGTCAGGAACTAGTAGAAGCATTCAGAATCCTTTCATTGCACAATCAAATCTTTTAAGAGTAAGCTGTGTGTAACAAAGAGCTTGATAGTTTTTCTCTACTGTGAAGGGCACTGAAGATATTTAAGTAATTGGTGATTATTTCTCTATGCCCTTTATTTATCAATCCTATTTTTGTTCAGTCTTTGAAAAACTTAAAAATTAGGATGAGTAAACATGTAAACATAGCCTCCTTCCTTGTGACCTATTGCATCAAAAAAGCTTGCAAGGAATCAATCAGCAGTCACCAGGGGAAAGAAAGGGACAAAAAGGGGAAGTTGCCAGTCTGGGTGCGAGGTGCTCTGATGTTCCCACAATGGAGAATTCTGCCCAAGGACAGCAGATGCTAAACCAAGTTAGGTTCTAACCAGCCAGTCACCAGATGGTATGGCACCATTGGTCTCCAGAAAACCGAGAAAAGATTTGATCTTTCTTGGGACTGTCTCCGCATACACCTGACTAACTGGAACCATCAATCTCTACTCAACCTCTGCCATTTCTTAGCAGCTCTCCCTCACTCTTCCCATACCGGTGTGTGAGTGGCTCAGGTGACCCAAGCCCTGAGGGACCATGCCAGCTCCTGGTATCCAAAATGAGTTTAAGGAAAGCCATTCTAAAAGCTTATTGCCCTCCAGCCACACTGGCCTGCTTTCTGCTCCTCCAGCCCACTCCAGTGGTTCCCACCTTGGGGCCTTTGGATTTGAACTTACATGCTCAGGATGCTGGCTTCTTCTCGTTCTGCAGTATCATCACAAACGTCACTCTTTAAAGAAGCCTTTTCCTCCTAACCCTAATGATGGTACCTATCCCTAGTCACTCTGTCTTAACTTGGTTTTATTTTCTTCATAGTACACATCTTAATTATTTGTTTTTATGTATACCATTTTCTCCCCTGACTAGAATGTAAGTTCCACGAGGACAGAGACCTCATCAATCTTGTTCACCCTTGTAGACTCAGTATCTTAAATCCTACCTGGCACACAGTACATGCTTAATAGAAATTTATTGCAAGAATGAATGAATAAACAAACAATGAACAGATGAACAAGACAACCTTGTACAGAACCAGTGGAAAAAAGGTCAAAGCAGAATTTGTCACCCATCATCAACCACACTCCCGCCATTTTTTTTCCAACTTTCCCTGTGGGACCGGAGGTGAAGCTACATGTGAATGGTAAAGCAGGGAAGCAGAGCGAGAGAAGCCATGGCTGTTTTATTTGGTGCTCTAAACATAAAACCACTCTGAAATGATTTGCAGGAGATTCTTGAAATTCAAATAGAGAAGGAAAAAAAAGAATGGCTATCAGCAAGGTAGTTCTGCCAACCTAATTATGCCCCGTGACATGTAATTGTGAACTGCTGAAAGACAAATGGTGAAGCAAGAGAGTTATTATAAACACATACACAGATAAGACTGAGGTGTTAATTTTTAAGCAACTGTCATAAATCTGGTTCCAGGATATTATTCCATTAACATTATTCTTATTATAACAAAGAGTCTAAGCATGGTGACGAGCTCCTTTCATGTATTTCTCAATACCTAGGAAATTAAGTTTACCAGTCAATCCCTAGCTGAGACACCTGAGAAAATACGAGGACACAATGAAAATGGCAGAACACCAGTTACACCAACATGAAAAGAGCTTTTCCATACATTGGAGATCATTTAAAATGCACTCGAATCTTCCTATAGCCATCATATTACACAATCCAAGAAATGTATACTCAACAGCTCCTTATGTGGCAGATTCAGCCTCTACAGAGGCAAAAATAAAACGCAACAGAAACAGAAAGCCCATACTTAGTAAATGAGAAAAGTATAGGAATGGAACTGTCAATAGTGTCTTAAAGACAAACTAGTGATTCTTCTCAGAATCAGAATGGAATGAAAGCATCTCTCCCCTAGAACAAGGATTCAGAAAAGGATGGGGGGTGGGGCAGGGAATAAGTAATAGCTCCTATTATATTAACAGGTGACAAAAATCATGAGGTGCAGTATTGACAAAGGTTCTAATTACTGCTATGCTTGAAAAGCATTTCAAATTCTAAAATGTTGTTTGTATATTATTTACCATCTAATAAACTGATTTGTCATTATCACACATTCAAGTTGTACAAATGTGTTTTTTCCCGCTTTACTGAAATCTCAGAATCGGGCTCAAAAACAGACTCAGAGAGGAGAGTTTTACGATAACTCATGCAAACTATGATACATAATATTTAAAATACAGTGAAATCATTACGGATATCATCCAAAAATTTAAAAAGTCTTTAAAATGGTTATTAATAATGTACCCATTTTAGTTTGCGTGGGAATGTTTAATGTCATCTACCAAAAAAGAATACTAAAATGGTATTCATTATGATTAAGACCTAATCACTAAAGAAATCCAGAGGTATGGAATTTGTAATCTTGCATACATGTTTGTAAAATATGGACTGGAGAAAGAACCATTTAATTTACCAAGAAGCCCTTTGATCTCTCACGAATTATAACCAATAGGATGATGGCAAGTTTCAGTGTGGAGGTCTTTCTGGATGGCTCCTACTAGACTTGGGGTTCCTCTATTCCTGTTTAGGGTACACAGTTGATCTACAAAGACTGTCATTTTTGTTCCAGCCTTGCTTTACAGAGCCCCAAGCAAAGCCCTCCCCATAAATAAGGCAGCAGGACCCTGGGAGCCAGCTGAGTCATAAACCTCACTCAGTCGCATGTGGCTCAAGGTGTTGGGATGTTGAGAGAGTCGAGCCAAGCAAGTGGAATCAATTTAGCTCAGAGTCAGGAAAAATAGAGTGCTTCCTCCCACCCCCCACCTGGCAGGGGAAGATACCACAGTCCCCCCTCCACAGCTCAAATACAGGGAACGGTAACTCAACCCAGGAAAACATCTAGGCCAGGGCAGACATTTTCCACAGTCTAAAAAGAAAGAAAAAAACGGAAAAAAAATGATATTTGACAACAAACCACAAGTTTTTAAATGTACGGTTCTCCTGTTTTTAAACATAAAAGCAGTCTTGTTGCTGCTAAGTTATTATCACCATCACATTTTTTGACATTTGTGCCCAGTACTACTTGGCCTTAGGGTCCTTAGGCATATTGCTTTAAAAATACAGAGTTAAACATGTTTAAATCACTTTAAATATCTCACAAAGCAGCAAACAGACAGCCTGCCTGCTTGGGCATGCAACCTTGAAAAGAGAAGCTTTACAGAATTGCCTGCAGGTCAACAAATTCTGGTTTGGCAGACTGATGTCAGGAAGGAGCTATAGAAAATAAGGTCCTCTGTATGAAAAATACTCTGCCTTTGCTTCCCTCAGGTCAGAACTTGGAACTCTTAGCAAACATGCCCTGAACAACTGCAACTCTCATAAGGTGCTAAAAACTCCCAAACAATACGGCCCCTCAAAATTGTGTACAAATGAGAAACATTTAATGAACAACCCTTTCTTCACCAATAATTCTGCTTAAATTAAGTCCAGCAGACTCTTCAAAGGGACCAAAGAAGACCCCTTGTTAAGACAAATTCTATATATAGACATCCAAGACAATTATATGATGCAAAAACCAAATATATATAATTATCCTAGTTTCTACATTCCCATTATCTTCATAAATATAGGATAAAAATCAGTCTAAATGACTTTCTCAGACCTCCTCAAGGATTACGACTAGCCAGCCAGCTTTTAAAAAGTATATGTATATAGTAAAGATCAAAAGCAAATGTTCTGGTCAGTTCTTTTCTACTCAAGGGTTTTACTAAGAATGTGTGCCGTTTTCAGGGAAAACACCACAAATGACAGCTGTTCAAAAGCATGGAAATTAATTGGCAGCATGAATTTCCTTGACTAATAGGGAAAAACTTACAGTCACGTGTTATGATGAGCTTATTTTTCCCATCCTTAGTGAAGGATATTCATTGTTAAATGAATAAGATTTTCGAATAGAAATACAACCAAATAAAATCCTGAGTACCTAAGTAAGTAAAACGCTGCATGAAACACAGCCACCTATTACTGAATGAACAATGGCATCAATGAATGGATTTTAGGTGTAAATAACATATAAGGAAAGGTTCAGCTTGTAGGTCTTGATTTTCTACAGGTAGAAACTAAACCGAGACAACAATAAGAACAATATATTTACTGTACTAAAAAACAGTAATAAGACAAGCGACTCCCTCCAAATTCCCCCAGTTAGCCATGTGCTTTGAGCTATTTTTCTAGCAGTGGTGTGATTTACACTGATCCATCCACAGTCTGACACAGGGACTCTCAAGTCGTTGCCCTTGTGACCAATGGTAAGAATGGATGAGACAGCTGGTCAGGATTAGGCAAGCAGCCTGTGGCCCTGGAACCAAGTTGTGTTACTCTGTCCAGAGCTATGACCTTGGGCGTCTTAGCATTATGCTCTTACCACCTAAGCTAACCAGCCACTGATCAGCCATGGTCCAACATTTATCACTCTGGGGGCACAATGTGTTCAAAATCTCAGCATGACTTTATTTCATGGCCTTTGAATTGAGTCCAAGACACTCAAAGACTCATGCATAGCGGACTCTACACACAAACTGCCCCTCAAGGCAGCAATGAGATGTCCAAGCAGGAGTAATGATGGCCCTTCCATCCTAATCGAATGACAGCTCTGACAGAGCTCAGGCAAAGCAAGAGTCAAAGAATTTCCAGAGCATGTTCTCCAAGTGCCACAACGGAACAACATACCTGGCCATCCCCAGACTTGGAAAGTTGGCAGGGACAATGAGTACATCCAGCCTGGAGAACGGGTGTGTTCCCAGGACAGAGTGTGCTGCTGAGAGGCAAGGAGGGATCAGCCGCAGAAGGGTCTCTTGGCAGGCACCCTTGAGGCACACTGGGGCAAAAACCCGATGAGGAATGATCTCCTGGGTGGTGGCAGAAGCATTCTGGAAGCGGCAGGGGTATTCCATGTGACCACAAACGCCAACATACCTGGGAACAACATGAAATAAACAGATGCAGTTTATGGTAAATCAGGTTTATTCTTCTTGCCGTGAAGGTGCGGAAGTCTCACAGACAGGGACAACTTCGAAGAGACAGCGGTTCAGACAGGCTCACTAGCAAAGACAGTTCATTTGAGTTCTTGGCTTGTCTGTTTCTGTGCAGCAGTGAAAAATTACAGGTCGAAATACTTACTGATGTGCTCAATTGATTGAGTAGTTTCAGTCTAAGCTAAATAAAGTAGTAAAATCTTGTTTCAGAATAAATAGGGGGGAAACCCCCAGACTCAAAACAACAAAACAACCCCCCCACCAAAATAAAAAGCAATTTCTGCCCTCTAAAATGTGTTTTTCAAATATCACCACAGGAAAAATTTTCTCCAAATGAGAGATGATTCATAACTGATAAAGGAAGGGACAGTACAACCAAATTAAAGATTCCATTCCAGAATTTCCTAAAATAAAAGATGTGGACATAGGTAGAACAATGAAGCAAATGACAGTAGAGGTTCCAACTTGTCAAAAGAACACAACCCATTTTACTGAAAAGTAATCTAGGTGTTCTTTACAAAGGCCATCAAAAGTTAGGCTGGTAAGGAACACAGAGGCACTTTTGATACAATATTTTCCCCAATGCACTTTCAATACAAATTTAATTGAATCAACCTTTTACGGAAACAGATCAGAGCCCAGCCCGTACTATCTGACCACTGCCAGTTATTCCGTCAAAGGTGGAGCTAAAAACGAATTCCTAGAGCCTGACTCACAGGCCTCAAGAGAACCTACCTACCCAAAGAAATCGACATCAAAGGGAACTCTGTTTTTTCACCTATTAACATGTCCTTTATTCAAACACAATGGAAAGTCCCCTAATTTTAATTTACAAATTATAATTCTAACTATAGGTACTTATTAGATTCACAGTGAATACTGAAAAACCTTAAAATGCTGGCACATCCCAATATGAGCAGACCGCAACACCTCTCCACGTTTGTGAAGTGACTTTCACCTGATCAAGGCCAGCACTGCCCAAGAAGAGCCACACAACTGTGAAGAAACGTCTCACCCGCCACAGCATGGTGCACAGGACACAGCTGCCAGCACTGATGGCGTTTCACCACAGTTGAGGGTAAGAAAAATCGATGGAGGCTCATAAAAACCTCTGCCAGGATAAAGTGACAGGAAGAAAATAATTATTGACGTTGAACCCTAGCCAGAGTCCCTGGATTGATAACCTTGCCTTATGGAGAAAGTGAGTAAAGTTGCCTACTGGTAAACATTTAATGGAAAAGGCTGCAGTGTCCACCTAATGACAGAGACTCTACTGGCGTATCAATTCAATCAAAGGTCTCACGAAGTGAAAAAAGCCATTTATTGAATAAAACACCACAATATCTTTTCCTAATGTATTTACATAGGTTTATAATGCGCTATAGTAATTTAAGCTTGCACTCTCTGAAAAGCTTTCAGAGCATGTTAAGTAATGGAGAAATTGGAGGTGAAGAGGCATCTTCAGGACAAAGGGCATAAGTTTACATTCTATCTATCAAAGCACAGTTTTGCAAAGAGGTATTCAATTAGCGTATGTAGAAACACACCATGAGGCAAGACTATTTCTTGCAGGCAAGAACCCCAAAGGTTAGAGAATAGTTTGAGGTAGCCAATGCTATACCAAGAAAAAGTCAATTTGTTCAAGAGAAAAGGTGAGTTAAATTCTCTCTGGACATGAGTGGCACTAGCCAGAGTAATGAAGATTATTCCAGCTGTGTGACTTAGCATCATTTTTCATAATCAAAGCCTGGGAGAAAATGCAGGACTTTAAGGCAATCAAGCTATGGGTAAGTGGGACCACTAAGGCTCCCAATAAAGATGGAAATAGCATTAGGGAAGCCACAAGTGGGTTCTGACATGAGGATCAGGAAACCTGGGCTTCAGTGGCTCTTTTCAGGCTGGGTAACTGTGACCCGAGGCAAGCGACTCGGCATCCAGGGCCTCTTTTTCCTCATCTCTAACACGGTCTCAGGAAAGCGGCTGCTGTGGGAGGGGAGGAATTGACTGGAGACAGGTGTGAGGGAAATCTGGGAGGCGACAGAATATTCTCTGTCTGGTTTAGGGTGTACGCAATCATCAAAAATTCATCAAGCCAAACACTTAATATCTGTGCATTTTGTTGAATGTTCATTATACTTTAATTAAAAACAAACAGAAAACTTAAAATGGTTTCTAAGGTTTCTTCCGGCACTATCATTCTATGACAACTCGCCACATGAGCCCCTCTTCATACAACACCCATGTTCCTGAAGCAGTAAGGGAATACTGTACTTTTATAAAGACATGAAGAGTCTTCCATAGAACGAGAATAAAATCAAAAGTGCTGTATCCTCCTTTCACACTCGCCTTCAGTTGTTCATCTCTGTATTTGTGCTTGCTCCAATACACTCTCAATATCCTCAACAAATCAAGCATTTATAAATAGCTATTCCTTGTGCCCAGACTTGTAATCAGAGTACAGATTTTAATAGTAAAGATTAATAATAATACTTGATTTTCCATTATTAATAATCTGTAATACCAATGAACATAAGAATAATAAATAATAACTCCTACCACAAGTGCTACTGAATATTTACTCTGTGCCAAGCACTGTTCTGAACACTTTATATGCATTATCCCAATTAATCCACACAACATTCCTAAAGAATAAGAACTACTTTATCACATCGTGAGTCATCATAAGCTCCTCCCTCCTGACCCTCCTTCCTCATATACCTCACTATGCTTCCTGAGTAAATTTGGATCCTGGATTTTTCTCGAGGCTGAGCTCAGCCGCTCTGTGGTTCTCCAGTTTCCTGCTGCTCCTTGTCCATATTACCCATCAATACTGCCAAGAGGGGAAGAATGGTGACATTTATTTCAGGCTGGTACATCATGGGAACTAGACCACTGGTTCCCTCTTAGACAACTGCGGGGCTGAAATGATTTTACAAGAGGTTTTCTAAGGAGTAAGAGTGACCATGTTTTACTCAGAATCACAAGATTAGAAATTGCCTCAAGAGGTTCTCCTTCAGCCATCCTCTTGTTTCAAGAAGGCACTGTACTGAAACCACCTAACATAAAAGTTTTCCTGCCATAGGTTCAAAAGAAATTGCTAGAGAAAGTCTCCCTTGGGAATGCATATCCTTTTTTTCATGACCCCTTCCTCGGTTCAACCTGACAATTTAGTGAATATTTCCTGCATTCTTGCTCTATTCAAGGCACCCAGGAGGGTGCTACAATGTACACACATATAAATCAATCTCTGATCCTACCTTTGAGGAGTTTACAGTTTTGTTGGGAGAAAAAATTAAAAATTCTGATAAGTACAGTGACACAGATTACACAATTTATTAACATGCTTTAGCAAGCAAAGTAGATGCTTGCTAAAAATCTTAAGTGTTCAAAATCCTACCACCAGCCCCCAATGTGTCATTGGCAATGATGTCAATATACATGATGATGCAGTAAGGTCCAAAAGCCAGAGGTGTTTTCTTAGGGCGTTCAGTATATTACAAAGCAAAATGAGGTATGTGCAACAAGAGACAGAAAGCTGAAACATCCTGGGGGAGTAAGGGCTGGAGAAACACCAAGCCAGGAAAGGTTTCTCTCATAGTGAAGGGTGTACTGGAAATTGGCATTTTATATATACATTTCACAAATATGTATGTATTTTACAAATATAAATATATATATTTCCTCTCTATATATGTCACATATATATATGTACACATACATATATAAATGTATATATAAAATTTTTTCTTTTGTAGCCTTTCAAAGACATAGAGCAAGGGCCTCAAGCTCCAAGGTTCACAAGGCAACTCTTCATAGGCTTTACAGCTCTAGAGAAGACCTCTTCCTCCATCAAGTCTGCCCTTCTTTAGGAAGAACAACCTCAATGCCTTTTCTTCTTCCTGGTGCCTATTTTCCATGCTTTTAATTATTTTTGCTGAGTTCTTCTGAATTTTATCCAAGTTTCTGCATCATGCTTAAATTGTATGGCCCCAAAGTGAAGACAATGCTTTAACAAAGGCCCCGAAAAGTTAAACATAATACAAAGATTCCCCTGTGGCTGAAGGTTATGCTGCAGCCAAATAAAACTAACAAACTTTCAACAGCTTACCTAAGTGCCTCATACCTAACGGATTCACTCAAATGCTCACTCAAAGCACACTAGTGTATGTGTGGAACTGGAGTGGGAAGAGGAAAGGTTCTTCCTATATTTCACACGAACAGTGATGGCAAGTTCCGTGACCAACACTTTGGGACCCAGATGAACACTTGAGGCAAGTGAAAGCCTATGGTATGTAAGGCCCCTGTAAAAGTTACATTTCTGTGACTTGAACTGGTGGTCTTAGGAAGATCTGAGGTAGAAAGGGGGTTGGGGAAGGCAAGGCGACCAGATGTGAGCATAACCAAAAACACCATGGCAGTTGGCACTTCAGAGCACCTTTGCTGGCAAATTTAGCATGAGCCAGAGATGTAATAGATAAAAACACAAAGCCACCCTCTGATGACTAAAGACAGCATACATGAACCATGCAACCAGGGAAGGATTAAGCAAATGTAAGCTATTATTTGATCAGCAGTTCATTTCTGATGGACAAGCACAGTGATAAATGAAGGGAAAACTTAGTCATAGCAGGTCAGACATGGAAGGGCGTGTGGGAGGGACTCCATTCCTGGGGCCTCTCGATGTGTGGAATGGCACCCTTCACCTCTCTCCCAAGCTCATCTGATGGTCTTGGCCACTCTGGGCTTTCTGTTTCCCAATCTGCTTGCCCACAGAGGGGATACTTTCTGGCCGTGAGGCAGGCTGTGTGTATCTGTGTTATGGAGGCTGGCAGCGGTCCAGCTGGGTGGGTAACTGGTGGGTAAGTGTGTCTAATTTGGAAATGGAGTATTAGTCCTTCGAGACGGTGCCCCTGAGCACTCCCTCAGTGCAGCTTCTGTCAATAATACAACCTTTATTTTTGCTCTCCTCCTGTCTGTTTCTCAATTGGTTCTGAACTCAGGAGGACAATAGTGGAGTCATAGTGACCTCTTCCCCTAAATCCCAACAGAAATTTCAGAGAGCATGTCTTCCCAGAATCCCCACTTGATGTGGCCGTGTCCTCCTCCCCTCACAATTGTGAATGCAGGAAAAGTGAAAAGCCACTTCAGCTGCTTCTGGGCAGCAAAGAAAACAGAGAGGAAATGGTTGCTGCCCACCCTTTTACCTCGTATCTCTGGGAATATGACTAGAAAGATAAAATACCACATTTCTTTCTTTGCCTTCCCCTAGCCTTCCTAAGGCACATTTTCCAACTGCACACCTCCTCCAGCAGTCACTCAGCCCAGAGAGTGCAGTGAAGAGCAGAGTACTTCTTCACCATGAAGACTTTGAGAGCCCAGAGCAAAATCTTGACTCTGCAGAGAAGGAAAGTATGGCATTGCCCAAATGGCTTTTGCAAGCCCAGCAGGGATGGCACCTTCAGGCTCAAAGGCAATGCTCTTGACTTCTGTTTTCTGTTTCACACAACATACTCCAATCAGTAACAGTGGCTCAGTCATGGAGCTAACTCTTCAGGTGGGAAGGGAGATCAGACTCCAGGGGAGGCGTCGATGTTACACAGTTTTTTAAAGTCCCCAGGTAAAATTCTGAATGACCTCTCTAGGGGGCTGAGCCTGGATGTGAAACCAGGAACTCACTCAGTAGGAATATGAATATGAACAAGTTGCTGTCTGAAGCCTCAGTATCTTCATCTATGAAATGGTGACAATAACACCTATCTATCTTACAGGATACTTTATAGAGCTCAGGGAAAACAGTTCAAAATAGGTAAGTTACTGAACAGGAAGTGAAAATTACCTCCCTTCCTTCAAAAAGCAAAATGTGGGCAATAAGACAAGCCTGTCACAAGAAAAGGTTCAATGGCTTTATCTCCCAACAATACCAACCACTACAGGTATTGCAGTAAGAGTGAAAGCAATGGGGCAAAATAAAACCAACACAAAAGTAATTTGCACTAAGAGCATATCTTACTTGGTTTTCAAGGATGAACTAACCATCCGTAACCGTTACTCTGGGCTTTCTCCATCAGAAGGTACTGACTTAGTGACTTTCTGTAAACAGGAGAAATGATTAAAGTGAGCTTGGGTGTAGAAGTCCTAGGAATGAGGCATGATGCAATGATGCATGATTAGCACACTTCTGTGCTTCTTATGAGCGTCCCCCCTCTCTGTTTTGGCTCTCAAAGCTAGAAGTAGCCTCTGGTGAGACTGCAAGTAAATATCCAATGGCGCGTACTAATTTTTAAGAACTTTAAACTGATTTTCTCTGATCCACTCTGAACAAGAAGAAATTACTACTGAAGTTAACAGAGCCCTGACCTAGCAGGATTCTCTACACCCAATGGCCTTGTGACAGCTTCCTTGTGCCCTGTGCTCCTAAGGAGGCTGACCAGCCCAATAAGGGAGGCCCACCCCTACCAACACAGTGCTAACAGCAGCCACTGGAGCCAAATCAGCACAGCGGCCTACAAAGCAATCCACCAGACAAGCAACTTCTTCTTATTAAGTTGTGTTTTTGACCAAATAAACACTGAAAACCAAAGTTAAAAGGTATAGAAGGACGGGAAGTGTTGAATCTGAGGATTCTGTTGACTTAACCAAACAAATAAAAATATTTCACCTGACTTCACAGAGGATTTCATATATATTTCTTTTCTTTTCTCTTTCTTTCTGCATAAACAATATGCCCACATTTTTGCCTCTCAACAATCTTTTCCTCCCAGTAGGGCTTTTCCTGCTTTGATTAATTATATTTTGGTTTAGTTTCCCAGCAGAGATGACTCACGTTCCCAGTACTTGGAATAAATGCATCATACTGCTCCTGCGAGTGTTTGTTTTTCAGCAAGTTACCAAATACAAACCTGAAATCAGCCTCAGAAGATGAGAGGGATCTCTCTGTTGCCAGATCATTTGATAAACAGGTCTCTGGCTTCATTTCTGCCCAGGATCCCACTGCAATGGTGAAGGTGGAAGCTGGCATTGGCATGGTTACGTAGTAATGCCAGCTCGAGCACCCTACAAACAGAAAGAGAAAACCCATAATGAGGCCAGTGAATGATTCTGAATCTCACTCTGTAGGTCTTCTCTTTAGGCACTTGAAGAGCTTATGTGATAAGATGGTAAGAGCTAATTATTGGAGGTGGGTCATGTCAACTGAAGGGGCATTATTCCAGGTCTCAGGGGGAAGTGTAAGAGGAATGATGGTTTCAATATAGCCAAAGAGGTTTGGATCTCCTTGAAGATCAGAGATCAGTTTGAAGCCTTTCAAATGAGGTTATAAATAAAGGGTGGTGGTTGAGGTGGTCACTAATAGTTGTATGCAAGAACATGTCTTATTCGTCCTTATTGTCCTGCACAGTATTTGGCATAAAAAAAGATGCTCTGTTGAATGCCTGAGTAAATGAACAAATAAATGTCACTTCTGTGCTGCTAAACTATTTTGTGTAAATTCAATTTAAGTCAAACTAAAATGGATATAGAAGAAAATAATGAGAGTAGGGAAGGGAGATACCTGTGTTTTAGTTCCAACTCTGAAACTAATTAGCTGTGGAAGTTCAAGTCTTCTCTCTCATCCTTTTTACCAGTTAATGTATTGGGCTGGTCCCCCATTCCTCACTGAGCAGATGAAAAACAGGACTAGAGGTTCAGAGAGGTTCAGCGGAGCCAAGGACTCCGAGCTAGTTTGTAACACGGCTGGAAGTATAGTGGGCCCCCCCCCCCCGGCCCCGCACCAAGGGTGTGCCTTTACTTAGTCCACACTGTAGAGAAAGACTTTACCAAAGGAACAAATGATTCATAACTTAGAACACTATACTTCCTTACTTCTAAAGTAGGAAAATGATTCTAATGTTTCTGAAATCTGAATGTGTCATATAACCTGCATTAATATAGTATTTTTTTCGGGGCATCTGCTATAAATTGATGGTCTGTCTTAAGAGGAATTGATATCACCTCATATTTTGAAACCTAGTTCTCCACTCCGCATGTTCCTATGGTGGGGGACTTCCATGAGACAGATACCTCCAGCCTCTCTTTCAGTCCTTTACTAACCCCTTTGCAGGAGGTATTCTTCTCTTGCCTGTTTTAAGTTTTACAGGGTTAGACACTCACAGAGCGGCCTGTAGTTGTTCAGTTTGGTTAGTGAGTGGATAAGATGTCAAATTCAGGGTCAAAATATTAACATGCCAATATTGGTCAGCAGACCTAACATGACATTTTTCAAAGAGCTTTACCAGTAAAAATCAATACTAAAGGTTCTTTTTTCATTTTTAAAGATTGGCACCTGAGCTAACAACTGTTGCCAATCTTTTTTTTTTTTTTTTTTTTTTTTTCTCCCCAAGTCCCCCCAGTACATAGTTGTATGTTTTAGTTATGAGTCCTTCTAGTTGTGGCATGTGGGATGCCGCCTCAGTGTGGCCTGATGAGCGGTGCCATGTCCGCGCCCAGGATCCGAACCTGCGAAACCCTGCGCGGCCAAAGCGGAGTATGCGAACTTAACCACTCAGCCACAGGGCCGGCCCCCAAAGGTTGTATTTTGATCTCCCTGTGCTTGGCTTCTTTGTTTCTCAACTAATTCTGAATTCAGGAAGGTAGGGGAGTCATTATTTATTACTCTCCGAAACTCTACCAACTTAGATCCAAAGAAAGACATTATAGAATTCCTCTGATGGAAAACAATCTTTAATAGGAAACAAAGACTTAAACTGAAGGAAAAAATAAATATGATACCAAGTTTGAATAAATATGCTATGCTATCAAGTTTGGAAGTCACTAGGGGAGATACTTGAAGGAGAAATACTGAAAGGCATGCTCAGAACTGCTAGAAACCCAACACCGAGGCAGCCTTTCTCTCAAACTTGCTTGTAAGTTTCAGCTTGCTTCTGGAATCAGAATGGCCGCTCTTGAGATTACTCTCTCCACAGCTGACTAAGAAGCTGAAGGCATGCTCCTCTTTAAAGAGACAAGCAAATCCAGTGATGCTAGAGCCAATGTGGTGAAGTGTGCAGCTTCTAGTGGGCTTGAAGGAAAACCACAGCTTTAAAGAAAATCACTGCTCTGATCCGAAGTCAGTAAGAAAAGGGTAGAGGCAGTCCCAGCAGTCTTGATAAAAGCATGATGTGGATCTGACATGACAGGCTGTCCTGCACCCACCTCCCTCACTTTTCTGCCTGCCCATAACTAACTCACTCTCTGCAACCGGATGTCTCTTCCTGGTTATTCCATGAAGAACTTCCGTGTGGACTGGACAACACAAGAAGAGCTGATGCAAGTTGTAGAGAGAGTGGAGATGGAGGAAGAGGAAAGAAGTTATAGCTGAGGAACTAGATCTTTTGAACAGTCTTGGTTTAAAAGAAAAATCTCAAATAACCAAGTTCTCTTAATCAAAGGGCTGCAGTCTGGACATTCTTTCTCTGAGGTACATTGGGAAGTGTTTAGCATGGACCATTGAATGTTCCTTTTAAAAACTTCAGAGCCTTGAGGGTTCAGTAAGTAAACAGCAATGGTGAGGCTTTCAGGTAAAAATGGAACATTAAACACATGAGGCTACCTTTCCTTCCTCCCAAAACCCAGTCAAAAGACGGTAAAAGGATTTTTTAAGCCATAAACCAACAAGAAGAGGGGGAATAAAATAGAATACAATAGTTGCAAAATACTGGAAGCTAGAATGCAGACGGAAGAGTGACGAATGACGCAGCAGACCTGAATCCTAAGTTAGCAGTGGGGAAAGACAAGATTCCACCTCATCTTATCCCCTAAAAGCCACAAACGGCTGGGGGTGGAGGAAGTACTAAACTAAGCAGGAGTGGCTCCAGGACTATCTAAGGAGGGCTTAGATCCCTGGATGGCCTCCCCTACTTGGCACACCTGGGCTGTTCGCCCATCCCCCCCCACACCCAAGCAAGAACTGGAGGTTTATCTTCTACAGAGAATAAAGGAGAGGGCCCCTAGACTAGGGGTAGGGAAGGACAATGGCACAGCTGCAGGCAAACGAATGGGATTGCATGAATATATGCACAGCAGATGCTGAGACCACCAGCCATCTTCCCTTATTTGGTTCCCAGAATGCTGGCAACCAGGCTTTTACCCTCTAGGCAGGAGAATGAAAACAGCTGATGCTCAAGAGAAGGCAACGAAGGATACTGACATTGGAGGTTTCCTACAAGCACCCTATGATGAAGCTCCCAGGCGACAAGCCCTGTGCACGCACTCAGAGCTTCCAATCAGCACTTCAGTCACCTATTCCTAAATGCCTGCAGACAAACCAAGAACCTCCAGGCATCCTTCAAAAGCCCCTGGCATAAAACTGAGGGACCAAAACACACAGACACCAACAACTTGGGGGACAGTGACATGCGAGAAGAAAATTGCCCAAAAGACCAATGTATACATACTAAGAGTTAAGAGAATTGACTGCAATGCTGAAACAAGAACAGCATAATGTTAAAAAGGAGCTCTCCAAAGTAAAAGGAACTAAAAACATGAGAGAAGAAAAGAACAACTCAGTAAAAGAGGGTGAGACGGACTATAAAGCTAAGGAAATCTCCCTAAAAGTAGAGGTGAAGAAAAAAAAAGACAGGACAAAAAGATAAGGGGAAAACAGCAATCAGTTCAGAAGGTCCAACATCCAAGTAACAGAAGCTCCAGAAGAAGACAGCAGAGAAAATAGAAGGGAGAAAATCATCAGTTAAAAGACTCGAGAAAATTTCCCCAAATTTAAGTTTCCAGATCGAAAGGGCACACAATACCCAGGACGCTGGATACAAACTGACTTGTGTCAAGATACATCATTTTGAAATTTAGAGCCCTGGGGACAAAGACAATATCCTACAAGCTTCCAGAAAGAGAGGGGGAAAAAAAACACACATAATAAGGACATTTTCAGACACGTAGATTTTCAAAAAAATTCACCTCCCACACATCTCCCACCTCCCACTTTCCTATTCTCTGGAAGCTAATAGAGTATGTAAAGTATGCTTCAAAAAGAGGTAGTGAACCAAGATGAGGCCGGCCGGTGGTGCAGCGGCTGAGTTCATGCGCTCTGCTTCTGCAGCTGGGGTTCACCAGTTCAGATGCAGGTGCAGACCCACACTCGGCTTATGGAGCCATGCTGTGGCAGGCATCCCACATATGAAATGGAGGAAAATGGGCACAGATGTTAGCTCAGGGTCAATCTTCCTCTGCAAAAAGAAGAGGATTGGCAGTGGCTATCAGCTCAGGGCTAATCTTCCTCAAAAAAAAAAAAAAAAAAAAAAGAGGTAGTAAACCAAGAAAGTGGAAGACAGAGGAGCCAATACAAAAGAAAAGCAAAGAGAACCTATAGAATGATGGAGAAGGGCCATCCCAGGAGCCAGCTATGCACCCAGTAGAGAGAGTAACTTGTGCCCACTGGAGCAGATTATAGAGCACCAGGAAAGACAGCCTCAGGAAGATGAAATTAAGAGAAAACCTGATGTATCTCAGCATCTTGAAAGATTTAAACAACTTTCAGAGAGTCTGGGGTTGGTAAATACATAGAAAACCAAGCAAATGAGAAAAACAAACAATAAGACAGTTATTACCTCCATGAAAAACTAACATGTTCTACAGAAATAATAATGTAATCAGTTTTACTACAAGACTCAGCTCTTAATAACCAACATAGATATAATAATATAAATGAAGAATATTGATCTAATCGAAGCTATGGCATTAATTATATTGTGAAGATGGGATTTGGGGAAGGGAGCATGTGTGTGATGGAAGGGGAAGAGAGCTAAATCCTTATCTGCCACAGCGGGAAGACCAACTCTGAACAATCAAGCATCTTATTGAACGACACAGATGTCAGCATCAAATAACCAACTAGAAGAAGTGAAAATGGTTACCTCTAAAGCAGGAAAAATAGAGTGGAGGTACTGAGGACTGCTATTTTGGACACAGAGTATAATAAACCCAAAAGAACTATTTTGACTCTTTAAATATGTGCATTTTTAAGATAAAAAAATTAAAAAACTAATCAGCCAATTAGTTAAAAG